GTTTCTTCTGCTTAGTTTTGGTAATTTCATTTTTCACATTATAACTTATTAGTCGCGCATTGCAGTTCTGCCGTAAAGTTTATTGCTTTCTCGTTTACTAAAAGATTGTACCCAAAAAAACGTCCTTTTCCCTTTTTTTTTTTTTCCAAAATCAAAGATCTATCAAATTGTGCGGGCGTTTTAAATCAGATGTTTAGCGTTAATTCTGTAATGCATAAAAGAAAAAAAAAAAGTTTAGAAACAGCTTGAAAGAGCAAATGCTGAAGTAAGTTTTATTTTTACTAAACAGGGAACTGCAGCTGTAATAGTTGTTTCAAAGAAAGATTTTTTTTTCTTGCATACACATATTAGCAATCTGGATAAGCAAGAAGTTTTTTTTTTTTCCAGTTTAATTCTGTCTTATATCTATCCATGAAAATTATTTATATTTATTTATTTATAAATTTATTTCTTTGATGTCGTTATTGGTGCTGCTTCTATAACTTTGAGTGAGTATAAGTGAAAAATTTTGCTATTGCATTTTCAGAAATGTGAAAAGTTTCAATTGAAAGGTACATATGTATGTGCAATATGCATCCTTCTCTCTCTGTGTGTGTGTGTGTGTGTTTTTATAGATGTTTGGCCAAATGAATTTCACTTAAATTTTAATTAGCACATTAACTTAGAAAGAAGCAAAAGCAAAAGCAAAAAAAAAAAAAAAAGAGGAAAAGTGAAAAGAAAAGAAAAAAACTGAAACATTAGAAGATTCAAAAAGTATGTCCTCGCTAAAAACTTCAAAATGTCAAGCTAAAGTTAGTGGAAAAAGTTGGTGCTGTTGTTGGTGGTAATATTTGACAATGCATAGTCGGCAAGGTCCAAAACATGAAAGAAAAAATTTAGGAGAACATTTTGGTAACACAAATGATGACAACAGAAATAAATATTACGAAAAAGTAAAAAGTAAAAACAAAAAAACTGAATAGAAGAACACGAAAAAAAAAAGGTTGAAAAAAGGTTGCCAATTATTGGTTTTGTCTAAAACTTTCATCTCTGTTTTTGTTCTTTTGTCAAAATTTGTAAAATTGTTACACTTTTATTCACCACCTTTTTACCCATGTCTTTTCTAGCAATCAGAAACTTGAAAAATTTTTACGCTAAAGTTTAGAAAAGCTTTTTTTTTTGGGGGGGGGGGGGGGGGGG